CATCATGTTAATGTCTACCGTAAGATTCATTTTCTTCATCATCACTAAAACTTTATTGCCACAAAATTTAAACAGGAAATCTTTTTCACCTATTAAAGCTCTTAAGTTCACCTGCGCTGCTGCTGCTCATTGTTTTGTTTTCGTTAATTTATTTCTCCGCCAGTTTATTCTATTTTGTTCTTTTTCTTCCCATTCCAACAATTTTGAAACGTTCAACAACATCTAATTAAATGAATTGCGCAAACAGTAATTATCCTGAAGGGATGGAGAAGGAAAAATAAAATAAAATAAAACAATGAAGAATCCAAAGTTTTTATTTTCAATTTTTTTTGTTGCTGTTGCTGTTCATTGGAAATTGAAGATAATCTGAGAGAGTCCGCATACAGCAGATACAGTTGACAACAATAGAAGAAATGTAATTTTTTGAAGTTAAAGCACAAAAAAAGTTTAGCTTTAAGGAGGAACAATAGTTTCGTTCATTGAACTTTTCCCCCCTTAATCTCATATATGACATAGTTAATGCCATAGCAGTAAATGTCAACAGTCAATAAAAACAAGACAAAAGAATTTTTTTCAATGCGTCATATCAAGATTGACAAAAAAATATATTTTTTGACATGAGAAATCCTCCTTGTTGCCATAAATTTGTGTGTGCAATTTCAATCTTTTTCCTCCCCAAAAAATATTTTATCAGATCATGAGAAATTATTTATGTAGAAACAAAAAAGCAAGCATGTAATGTGATATTGTCACTAGAGTGTAACTGAGAGATTAATTTAATTTATAGATATGTATGAGGGATTGGATGGAGTTACTGTCTTCCTTAGACATGGTTCCTATAAACTCAAGAATGATAGTCAATATAACTGTTGGATGCTTGAGTTTAACTGCTTTCAAAAAATCAAGTTTTAACAATTTTTACAATTTCAAAATTTAACCGTTCTCAAAAATTCAAAATTTAAACGTTCACAAAAATTCAAAATTTAACAACTTTCTAAAATTCAAAATTTGGCAGCTTTCAAAATTTCAAATTTTTATTTTTATTATATTTTCAAATTTTAACGACTATCAAAAAATCAAAATTTAATGCTTTCAAAAATTAACATTTTACGAATTTTACAATTTCAAAATTTAACCGTTCTCAAAAATTTAAAATTTAACAATTTTCAAAAATTCAACATTTAATTGCTTCCAAAAATTAACATTTTAACGACTTTTTCAATTTCAAAATTTAATAGTTCTCAAAAATTTAAAATTTAACAACTTTCTAAAATTCAAAATTTGGCAGCTTTCAAAATTTCAAATTTTTACTTTTATTTTATTTTAACGACTTTCAAAAAATCAAAATTTAATGCTTTCAAAAATTAACATTTTACGAATTTTACAATTTCAAAATTTAACCGTTCTCAAAAATTTGAAATTTAATAATTTTCAAAAATTCAATATTTAATTGCTTCCAAAAATTAACATTTTAACGACTTATACAATTTCAAAATTTAATAGTTCTCAAAAATTTAAAATTTAACAACTTTCTAAAATTCAAAATTTGGCAGCTTTCAAATTTCAAATTTTTACTTTTATTTTATTTTAACGACCTTCAAAAAATCAAAATTTAATGCTTTCAAAAACTAACATTTTAACGACTTTTACAATATCAAAATTTAACCGTTCTCAAAAATTTGAAATTTAATAATTTTCAAAAATTCAATATTTAATTGCTTCCAAAAATTAACATTTTAACGACTTATACAATTTCAAAATTTAATAGTTCTCAAAAATTTAAAATTTAACAACTTTCTAAAATTCAAAATTTGGCAGCTTTCAAAATTTCAAATTTTTACTTTTATTTTATTTTAACGACTTTCAAAAAATCAAAATTTAATGCTTTCAAAAATTAACATTTTAACGACTTTTATAATATCAAAATTTAACCGTTCTCAAAAATTTGAAATTTAATAATTTTCAAAAATTCAATATTTAATTGCTTCCAAAAATTAACATTTTAACGACTTTTACAAATTCAGAATTTAATAGTTCTCAAAAATTCAAAATTTACCAACTTTTTTAAAATTCAAAATTTGGCAGCATTTAAAAATTCAAAATATAATTGCTTTGAAAAATTCAAATTTTAACGACTTTCAAAAAATCAAAATTTATTGCTTTCAAAAATTAACATTTTAACGACTTTTAAAATTTCAAAATTTAATCGTTCACAAAAATTCAAAATTCAACAACTTTCGAAAATTCAAAAATCTGGCAGCTTTTAAAATTTAAAATTTTTATTTTTATCATTTTTCAAATTTTGAAAACTTTCGAAAAACCAAATTTAATGACTTGCATATTCTTGCCTGTTTTTTTCAATCAAAATTAAGAGTTTTTAAACAATTTAAATTTCAAAGTTGTTTAAAAACTAAATCGTTATAAATTAAAACCCTTTAATTTTCGTCAACGACTTTCTATGTAATTAATTACATTAGGTTTTTGTGTTGTTTCTACGCCCTTGAAGAACATGAAAACATTTTGCTAGTTCCACTTAAAATATGCCATTTAAAATTATTCAAACTTAAGTAATGCATTCAAATTGTCAAAATTCACAATATTTTCGATTTATTTTATTGATTAACAATCTAGTGCCAATTCTGTTCTCATTTTAAAGCCTTTTTTTTGCCTCTCATTTATTTATTTATTTATTTATTTTATAGCGAATCTATTTTTCCACAGAGCAAAATTTATGCTAAGACAACAGCATTAGCCATAAACGAGCAATCATTTTGCAATCATGATTAATTTTCAAGTGAGAGAGAACAAGAGACATATATAGCATTGCATTGTGTACGGGTACAGTTCTTCAATGATGTTTTTTTTTTGCCTCTTTCAAATTAAAAATGAATTGAAAATGCAAATAAAGCACAATAGCAATAAATGCAATTGAGTATAAACATAAGCATTTTAGAAATCAATATATATTGAGATGAGGAAAGATATTTGTATGCAGGCACATATATGCTGAATGGCATGAATGATACATTCGCTAGTGCCATATAGCAACATTTTTTTTCTGCACATTTTGCTTTGTTGCTTTTTTTCCTAACATTCTTTCAACAATCGAGTTACTAAGTTTTTTAATATCTTTTTGATTACCTCCATTCCTTTTATATCTCTTTTTCCATTCATTAGCTTTGTGTGTGCAATTTTCAACTTGTTTTTTGCTTCATCTCGAAAACATACTTTACTTTACTTCATCATCATCATCTATTGCCTACCAACTAGCTCTATTCTTTTATATGAGCATAGTCGATAGATGGTTAAATGCGAGGAGACATGTGATTCATTATTGTTGTAAGGTCTATCGACTTACATTATTTTTCAATTAAAAAATTAGTAAATTCAAGCTGAGTTTTAGGTGGTTTACCGAAATGATGTGGCTTTTCGAGTTCTATTTCAACATTTTTTATTCTGTCAATTATGGAAAATTTATGTTTTGTGCTGTATGGAAAGTAAAATGAGCTTTACGGGTTGAAAATTTATTATATTTTTGGAGTGAAAAATTTAATTTACAAAAAAAAAACTTCCAAAATGACCAATAATCCTTTATGTAATTACTTTGTGGTGCGCTCTGAACATCTGGCTGCCCATTCATCACATTTTGGAAGTCAGTTTTATTGTTTTTAAAAAAATTCAAAAAAACCGTTAAAGTTTTAATCAAAAACTACAAAATTCAAATGTTAAAAACCCCGTTTAAATCTTTTCTTAAATTCAAAAACTTAAAATTCGTTAAAAAATCAATATTATGTAAGTGAATCAATTGAAAATCTCTAAATCACGACTTGACACTATCCCATTAAGAACCGGTATTAAAAGTGTAATAAAATTTCCGTCTATCAACCTTCAATCTCAAGTAATTTAGCCCAGTCATCCAAAGTGAATGTTCCAAAGCCTGTAAACTACCATAAAGTTATCTACACACATGACTCTGTTTTATTGGTGCTTTATGCCTCAATATTCCTTCAATACTCGACTATAATAAAGAAAAATAGTCGTGCATTAATAAATTTCCAGAAGTATATACGAGCATGTATTTACATGATGCCCATATGCTCATGTTGTGTGATGTAACCTTAATTATATTATGAAAACCAATCGAAACTGTCACAGCAATTATTGTTTACCTTAATACTATTCGTTAAGATTTAATGGATGTTTCTTGTTTTATTTGTTAAGCATCTGTGCACATTAATTATCGCATTCACCTCCCATATAGACCATAGGATTTATTCGATGACCTTGCCGAAACATATTAAGCACAGCACAGACTTCTATGCATTTTTCATTCAATTTCTGTTCCTTTCTGACGTTTCAGCATTTAAGGTGTGTGACTTGCGAGTGAGGAAAATAAATTAAATTTTATTAACAATCCATTAGTGCTTTGAACACCTTTATATTTCGCTTATAATTACATTTTGATTTATTGAAGATCTCTATTGGAGGCTTTCAATGCCTGAAAGAATGCATAGCTAAAGGGGCCGTTCACTTATTACGTTCGCATTTTAGGGGGAGGGGGTTGAAAAAATTGTAACAAAATGTAACATAGGGGGGGGGGGGGAGTTGTAACATATTGTAACAAGGGGGGAGGGGGGGGGGTGAAAAAAGTCGTTTTTTTTTGCGTAACGTAATAAGTGAACGGCCCCAAACAGAAGTCGGTGCAAATGTTTCTTTTTGTTGTTGTTGTGCATTATTATGAGAAAAGTTGCTGATGTCTGCAATCTGTCAGTCTGTCTAGTTTGATCACTGTTTTTTAAATATTTTTTGACTGTTATCTTTTAAATATATTTTGACCGTTATTTTTCAAATATTTTTTCACCGTTATTTTTCACATTGAATATTTTTAAGATATTTACTTTCTGTAAAAATAAGCTTTTTAATCCTCAAGCTAATTCTCATAATAACTTCATTCTTTTAAGGCAGGCAATTAAAAAACGTCACAATTTTGAAAGATAAATGGTAGTTTTAATATAAATTCTTTTTCGATTACAATATAATCAAACATAATTAATATAAGATGAGATAGCAAAAATAAGGAACTTTATTGAACTCATCGAAAATTAAAAAAAAAAGAAATAAAATTTTATTGCAAAAGATTATTTAAAAGATTAAATCATGTAAAAAATCATCTAGATCTGCATTCGGATTAAAGTCAGTCACTCTATACATATCAGGAACAAGTTGTTGCAACCATAAAGGATTGATGACTGTATTTTCATTCAAAAACTTCTTAGTTGTTTCTGTCAAATTGTTGTAGACGATCCTGTGAATTGAAATAAAAAAAATAATGTTCAGTTACTTCCGAAACCTACAATAACTAAACATCAATCAATACGTACCAAGATGGAAGTTGATGGAATAACGAACTTGATGGATGAATGAAGCATTCCTGTTCATCGATAGTTTTATAAACCTTATTATTACGTCCACTAATTGCAGGTCTTCTAGCAATATTTTGAAAGAATCCAGAACAAATTGCCATCTGAACACGCTCATAATTGAATCCAGCTGAATAAATTTCATATTTGTACTTATCCATAATCGTCAGTAAATTTTCGCGGACATCCTGTGCCTCTAACAATTTCTTTTCATTCAAGTAATTAGTCTTGCACCATTCACTTGAATAGTGGTTGATTTCCCATTTCTTGTAGACATTCAATGCCCGCAAATGATCACCGACTGCATGCTCAAAAGACTTTTTCTTCTCATCAGCAAGCGTTTGCTTCTTTCTTGGTCTATAAAAAACATTTCCAGCACTTAGCATTGCAATAATTGTAATGATTTCATCTGTACACTTCAAGCCAACAGAGACCAACAGCATTTTGGCTAAATTTGGTTCAACTGGAAGTTCCGTCATTTTCCGACCAAGATCTGTAACATCACCATTGCGATCTAAAGCACCAAGTAGGAACAACTGTCTAAGTGACGTCAAAATATTATCTTTATGTGGTGGATCCATAAAGTCAAATTCAAGGATATTCTTTACACCAATTGCTTTTAAATGCAGAACAACTTGTGATAAATTCGCACGCTGAATTTCAGGAATTGTCTCAGGCAACAGCTCTTCATTGTAAGCCTTTTCAGAATACAGACGATAACACTTTCCAGGTGCTGTTCTTCCAGCTCTACCTAAACGTTGATTAGCTGATGCCTGAGAAATCGGAATAATTGTCAGCATATCCATTCCTGTCTTTGGGTCGTTAATCTTTTGCTTGGCAAATCCACAATCTGTTGGGAAATAAGAAAATTGAATTAGTTTACAGGTGGATATCCTCTTGCTACAAATACTCACCAACAACAAACTTAATTCCATCAATTGTCACAGACGCTTCTGCAATATTAGTTGCAATAATAACCTTTCTACATTTTTTCGGTGCTGGCAGCAACACATCACTTTGCATGTCAGGTGGCAATGCCGAAAACATAGGAAGGATTATGAGATCAAGATTGAAACGAGATCTATTTTTTTCAATGTATTCCTCTAATGTTTCACATGCACGCTCAATTTCTTCTTGTCCTGTTAAAAATAACAAAATATCTCCGTCTGGTTCTCGCATATGGATGTTCAAGACTGTGTTCAAGGCTGCATTCAAATAATCAGTAGTGACCTGATAAGTATAATAGAATGTCTCAACTGGAAACATTGATCCAGGAATTTGGAGGACTTTGGCATTGTCGAAGAACTGAGAGAATTTGGCATAATCCAATGTTGCTGATGAGATGACGAGACGAAGCTTTGGACGACGCTTGACAGCTTCTTTCAACAGTCCAAACAGAACATCAGTATGCATGGTTCTCTCATGTGCCTCATCCAAAATGATAACCGAATAAGAGTCTAAATTTGCATCCGACAAGCATTCACGAAGTAAAATTCCATCAGTCATGTATTTGATGATTGTATTAGGATTTGAACAGTCTTCAAATCTAATTTTATATCCAACTTCCTGTCCAATGATGCATCCATATTCATCAGCAACACGTGTAGCAACGCTCATTGCTGCAAAACGACGTGGTTGTGTACATGCGATTTTGCCTCGTAATATGAAACCTGCCTCGATGAGAAACTGTGGAATTTGAGTTGTTTTACCTACAAAGTAAAGGAAGAGTAAATATTTTAGTTAAGATCACTTTAAAACGTTGAATTGGGGCCGTTTATAAATTACGTTCATTATTTTGTAAAGGTCTGGTTAAAACTAGTCTACTATAGTCATACTAGCCATACTAGAGTGATACTAGTCATACAAGAGTCATACTACACTTAATAGAGTCGTATTAGCTATAATGAAGCTGTATGACTGCTGTACAACCTAAGATTTCAAGGAATTGTTGGAATTGCGATTCCATGTAATAGCCAGTCAACGATAAATCATGTGGTGTACGGGAACAGTAAAAAGAGTGTAAGTTATATATCTGATTTATTTATTGGTTCGGGTAGCGGGTTCGAGTCCCGCTCGGGATCCGTTATTCGGAGTTATACTTTTTTCTGAGGTTTTGTCATCTAGAAGTTTGCTTCTTCTTTCTAGATGTTTCAACAGGAATCAGCTCAATGTTCCCTTTCTGACCCCACATTTCATATATTTACATAATTCATACAAACGTAAACGTTTACAATTCAAATAATTACCTGAACCAGTTTCAGCGATAACAATTAACACAGGATTATCAGTCACAGCTTTGATAATCTCTTCTCGGAATTTGAAAATCGGTAGTGACTCACGTTGTTGTCGAATCGACATTTTAATTCGCTTCTTGTAATCAATTGAAGTCGATGATGATGACGCACTTGCTGAAACACTTGATGATAAACGTAGTTTCTCAAAAATAGTATGCAGTTCGGCTGGCTTCTGCCAGGAACTTCCAAAACCAGATTCTGTGAAATAGAACGGAATGGCTGCAGGATTTTGCATTTTTGCCTTGGCAACTCTAGCCATATTACTATTTGGGTCTCTAAAGATGTTGATTTGCTTTGGAATCTTCGATGATGTGACGCTGTTTGAGAGGTTCTTGAGGAACGGAGGTTCATCTTTGATGACATCAACCTTTGCAGTTGAATATGAATGAGTGAATTGAGAGACTTCTCTACGGCCAGGACTTGCTACACGAATCTTACGTTTACGATCGTCAGTTGCAAACTTATGAGCAGCTCGTCCTTTGTTCACTGGCTGTTCTACATTTTTGGTTGTCATTGATATGAATTCATCGGATATGGAAACAATTCGAACTTTAATCAAATTTCCAATAATCAGCTTGTTCAAGTCCCCCATCAATTCTAAATTATGGATAAGCCCTTCATGCATCTTACTAAATCCATTTAATTTCACAATCAACCCATGCTTATTAACGTCCTTAACAGTTCCTGTATAAAGTTCATCAACTTGAGGAATAATTCCAACAATTGAATTCTGATTGTATTGAGTCATTTTATGCTGTTTTTTGGAGATTTTTTCATGAATTTATTAAATAATTTTCACTGTTTTAAGCGTCACTTGAATTGTTCTATGTGTCTGTAACTGAATTATATAAAAACAAAGAAGAATCACAAAAAGAAACCTTTTGAAACAGAAACTTTCTGTAGAATGAAAATATTGAAATTCTCTTGCAGGCTTTAGTCGCACCGCTTTCAGTGATTATCATGCAAAAAACATTCAAAACGTTGTAAAATTATGACCTGCTTTGGGGATCGAGTAGAAGTGACGTCGTTCAGAAAAATATGAAAATTCAAAAACCAAGCTTCTGAGTGGCCCCAAATTTTCTAAAATAAATAAATATAAAACCATCAAATGTCATTTTTCATCCTAAGGGGTCGTTCATAAATTATGTCAAACTTTTGAGGAAGGTTGGGAAGTTTGTCGCTAAGTGACACTCCCAAAGATTCAAAACATTTTTATAAGAGAATTTTCCGACAGAAATTCGAATGAAACTGTTTTTTTTATGGACATCATTGAAGAACAATGCCTTTAATGCCAAAATATTCAAGAATCCTTCCCAAAAAATCAACAAACAACCCAAACTCATACTAAACGGTGCGAAAAGATTTCAATTTGTGTTCATTCCCATCAGTCTCATCTCGAGACTGTATTGAGCATGTACGAATATAAACAAATCTATCGTTGTATTGAAAACAAACCGGCACTGAGTCAGAATTTCATAATAATAATAAAGAAGAGAATGTGCGAGACTCTCTGAGCAATTAAGTGTTGGTTTGCATGCAAATGAGAAACGTTTTGAAATAATGGAGTCAATTTATGAAATGTTTAAGATAAGGTTCTTGGAAATGGATGTGAATGTTATAAATGAGGATTGTTATCGAAATTTGCTGATAAGGAAGTTGTTTGGAGATTAAAAGGAAAGATTGAATTTTACGGTCTATGATTTAATTAGAACTAGTCTGTTGCACCTAACTTTAAAGAAGGGTTGTGACAAAGTTGGTCCTGGTGGATCATTTCCATAGTTTTGCGTTCAATTTCCACTGAACTTAATAAAAGTTTAAAAGCTTTAAAACAGCCATTTTCTTACAAAACTCTAGCAACACATCCAATCAATTTACAAACCATCAAATGTACTTCCTTCCAATGTTTTTTTAATAATCCCCAGCATGCAAGATCGATTTTACGTTTGCTTTTGATCCTTATCGTTTTACTTAATTTTCATGATATTTTTTTATTTATTCAATTTTGATTCAATTCACAGCAATGAGACATAACTTTTCCCCTTCCTATACTTAATGAGCAGTAAGCATAAAAATTGAGAAGAAATTGCAAAAAAAAATATAAATGAGGAAGAATGGAAGCAAAACAAGTCGATAAATTGTTGCAAGTTCGATTGTTGATTGCTTTAGATCTGTGTTGTCCAAACTGTGTGCCGCGGCACCATAGAAATTTTTTGAAAATGACACGAGTCAGATACTATGTGCGACTTTGGTCATGGCTTACCCCTAAGGTGTGCCGTGGCTCAAAAAGTTCGGACAACACTGCTATAGATGAAGGAACTATTTATACGAAGGTGATTTCATTCAATATGGAATGGCAATTATTGGATATCCCATGCAATGATTAAGAACTAGTTGGATTGGGTGGAAAAGAAGGAAATTGAGGGTGGCAAGTTAATTAATTCTAACATTCTTAATGATTAATACTTTCTCATGCCTTTATTAAGCTTTTCTCTTCTATTTTTATCATTTATTACTTTCAATGTACTTAATACTTGCTGGTGCCTACCTCATGTCTTACGTCTTGTTGAATTAATGTTTATTTCATTAGATAGTGGAGAATGTACACGCATAGGTGGTGAATAAGTGTGTGTACTGTACATGATGTTGTTTCTGTAGCTCCAGATCTTCTCATTACTGATATACGGGATCATGACGTGCTTAATTGAAAGCTACATAAAAAAGGGTAAATTTTCCATTTTAACACCACAATGATAATAAGAATCGAACCCAAGTCCACAGAAATAGACTTAAATCAACTCCTTAGGGTTCACTTATTACGTTCGCATTTTAGGGGGGGAGGGGGGGTTGAAAAATTGTAATAAAATGTAACATAGGGGGGGGGGGGGGTGCCAAGAAGGTAACGTTCTAACTGTCGTCTGTCTTTTAAAATACAATCATAATTTGTGGAAATTTTCAAAATTAAATTATGGGGGGGGGGGGGTGAGTTGTAATATATTGTAACAAGGGGGAGGGGGGTTAAAAAAAGTCGTTTTTTTGCGTAACGTAATAAGTGAACGGCCCCTTAGTCGGAAGTCGATAACACTCATTCACTGAGGTCCACGCTTGACTTGAGCTGTACTTGAACTTACACACATTAAGTCTTAATTTTAATAACTTGAATTTGGTGTACGGAGCTAAAACCCGAAATCCACAAGTCGGTTAATCGATCATAAATCCGGCACAAAGCCATTGTGACTTTGGCATGGTGCTGGATTCAAATCGATGCCAGCACTTTGCCATGCAATCTGGTAAATCTTCTAGTACGTAGTCACTTCTTGAAATACCAGTTTAATGATAATAATCCACAGCTTTTGCAGCCACTCGAATTTAAAATACCAAGACATCCCAAAAACCATTAATTCCTTCAAAAGCATTTAAAATCCAAAAACTTTTTTAATTCCCATGAGCTGAAGATTAAGTGTATGGAATAAATTCTCAAAATATAAAGCATCTTTAGACCCCTTTTATTCTCTGCCAAAACCTGAAATTCAATATAAAAGGATATAAATGAATGGATGTGGAGAGAAAGACGAGGCGCTTGAAAGGTAATTAAATACGCAGATAAATTCCTTCCTTCTCTCCTTTCAATTTAAAATGAAATTCTTTCCACATAAAATTCTCGCTTTTCACATCTTCTTCCTCAGCTGTTGTCATGCAAACAATAGAATTGAACTTTTTTTCTTCAGGTCGATTCTCCCTTCTTATCTCATCTCGCTGATGCCACAAAATTTTTTTCGTTTTTTTTTTTGTGAAAATATTTTCTTTAACTTTTTCAATTCCCCATTGTTGTGTTTGCTTTACCCTTGGGTTAATTCACTTCTTCTCTCAAATGTCGGGGATTCGTGTATTTTATTGAGTCAATTGTGCTAAAGTTATTAAATTTTTTTGGTATCTAATTCAAATTAGATTACATTAGTATGTAGATTTCTCACTCTTATTATGTTTTAAGGTTGATAGAATTTTTCATTATGTACATATATCATTTCTTGGAAGTGTAATCGTAAGGATATGTGATGATTGTCGTCACACAATTTTATTATTATTTAAACTAGTGTATCGGGTAGAAACCCAATGCGGATATATTCACACCGTACCATCAAAAGTCTTATGGATAGACCAAGATTTGCTCAGCATAAGTTTGTAGGGTGGGCGTGAAGTACGGCCGAGACCCATATCGACACAGTTCAAAAGATATACCTAATTTATGACATAATTATGTCAGCTACAAAAACACTTAGTTTAAATTTTGTCAACCTCGGGAACACTATGAACCAGTATAGCTGATTTTGGTTCAAATCTCGGCCATACTTCACACTTATTTGAACCACATTTTCTCGTAAATGTTAAAATATTATTAAAAGTAATTAATCCTGAATTATGTCGCTATTTTGTCAAGTGTTTTAAGATAAAGAATTTGTTTTTTGGTTTCCACAGTGAAGAGTATGAACAAAATTCAGATGGGGTAGTCGAAATTTTAGATTTCGTTTTTTTTAAGCTATGCATTACAAGAAGTAATATTGGTATGTGATTTATGTCAGAATTATGTCAATTCAAATAAAACATCCAAAAAATTTTTTTGACAAAAGTACACCATAGAAAATCAATTTTCAATTTTTTACTAGGGGCGACCCTAGTCATAATCAATTTTGTCACTTTTTTCTTCGAGGATTTATCGAAATGGATTGAAACTTTGCATAAATATTCTAGTGCTTAAAACAAATACAAATAAACCATCCTAAAATTTTTTTGAGCAAAGAACCAAGTAGGAAATACAATTTCAATTTTGAACAAGGGGCGACCCTAGTCATAATCAATTTTGTCACTTTTTTCTTCGAGGGTTTATACAAATGGATTGAAACTTTGCATAAATATTCTAGTGCTTAAAACAAATACAAATAAAACATCCTAAAATTTTTTTGAGCAAAGAACCAAGTAGGAAATACAATTTCAATTTTGGACTAGGGGCAACCCTAGTCATAATCAATTTTGTCACTTTTTTCTTCGAGGATTTATCGAAATGGATTGAAACTTTGCATAAATATTTTAGTGCTTAAAACAAATACAAATAAAACATTTAAAATTTTAACAGGTCCAGTCAAAATCTAGTTTTTAACTTTTTTTTGAAATCAAAATCACTTCATTATTGACAGTTTTGATATGGAATTAAGATTATTATAAAATGAAATGTTCCAGGCAGTGTTTCTCAAACTTTATAAGCCCAGAACATTAACTTCTTGCAGGGTTGTGATACAGGCACCTGTGCACAGATGAGAACTGTACAATTCCTTGACGAAAAACCGTATAAATTATCAAGGAATTGTACGGTTCTCACCTTTGAAAAGTTCCTGTATCGCAACCATGAATTCTTGTTTATCTTTAACCGTTAAAGAATTCACTACTATTAAGTAATATTTTCAAGACCAGTGTTGTTATGTTCCTTGGCGGAGCAAAGTTTGAGAACTAATGGGTTAGAAAGTTTATAATAACAATTACATATGAACATAAGATTCAATTATTGATAAGATAAGGAGGTTGTTGCTCTCTAGTTATACTCGGGTTCAAAGCAAGAGCTGTAGAATATTCAATGAAGGCACAACCTGAAATGTTTATTGACCATTCCCTCCCTTTAAGAGGTCGTTTATATATGACGTCTAAGATTTAGGGGAGGAAGGGGGTTTAGGATTTTGTGACAGCTCAAACAAAGAGAGTTTTATGAAAAAATCATAAAAATCCCCCCTTCCCTCTGAATTTTCCATATAAAATTTTTTTGCCCCCCCCCCCCCTCTTCAAATTCCTGGCTACGCCCCTGACTGACCCCAAAGGACCGTTCACTTATGATGTCCAATATAAAATAGAAGGGGGGGGGGGTCAGCAAGAAACGTACAATAGAAATTCTTGGAAATC